ATGGTCTTTAAGGCAAATTATAAAATGGGTAGCTCAATTCAAGCAATCTGATTGGTTCATAGTAGTGATATAAGCGTATACCAGGGCCTGTCGTAAGCTATTGCTTATGTGACTGTGTAGTCCAGAATTGTAAATGATGCTTTAAGTTGTTCTGCAATCATTTCTCCCTCCATGATCATTACAACAGAAATTACAACTGCTGACAAATTCCACCACTCATGGTTCTGCTACCAACAAATTACTTTTGGCTTACATTATCGGCATTGATGTTTGCTTTGGACATAAGGTGGAAGAGAAAAGACCTGTCTGTTGCAGCCAACCCGCCACACAGAGTCCTCCCTGCTGTCACGGATGCCTAACCAACATATCTGTCAGAGGATATGAGAAAAGCCCCCAGTATTATTTTCTTTTATTAAAATGTGCAAGCTCCCCCCCCCTCACCACTTGCAATCACACTTGGGAATTCTGAAAGCTTATATGATCCCCGCATGACAGCTCCCAATAAAAGCAATGATTTATTTCTGTTTTTTTACCTCCCTTTTTGAAGGAAAATGATTTGAATGAATTACGCCGTGTTTCGTGTGCAGCATTTCAAAGCAAAACACCAGAGAGCCTAATCTGTGATCCTGAGCTTTTCAGAGCATACTTACATAACTGCAACTGTACCTGTAATTTTCGGGTGTTTCACACAACAAAAGGGTCTGATGGGTGAACTCTGCAGCAGGTTTCAACTATAACATACAAGTGACCATCTGAAATATCTCCTCTGTTCTCCTATAAAAAGAAATGCCTCCACTTTATAGGACTGTGAATCTCTTTCTCAACATAATGAACTCCCTGACAGGGAAGTGGCTGAGCTTCACCACAGTAAAACACAGCAGTTTCCTGTCACCGCCACTGAAAACAGCTACGCTCCAGTGTTTTAGTGATTGTGGCGCAGCGGCTGCCGACATGACATTTCCTGGTGCTCAGTCAGTGTAATGGATGAGTCTCTGCTACAGACAGTGATGCTGATACACACACGTGTCACATGTTCACACATTCCCACATAATGAAGCCCTGTCCTGTGATGTCCTCTGTAGTGGTTACATCCAAAAATGTCTCTGTCACACAGAAGATGAATGAGCTAAAATCTCACACTGTCCCTCCCTGTATGCTTGGTGAAGCTCCATGCAACTCACATGAGTGCGGCTCAATTGGACAGTGAAATGGAGCAGCAATGGACTAAACACCCCTTTTAAGTTGAGTCCAATTGTTCATTTGTACTGTTATGTATGATGAAAGATCCACACACAGCTCCCCTCATTATGACTTGAACATCATTGCGCCTGGAGGGATTTAATGCTGTCTGTTTCCTTCTCTTCAGCGAAACCACACGCTGACAATCATCATCTGAAATGGAATATGACAAATGTGTTTCCGGCCCAGCACAGGGGCATTGTTGATTTATGTCAGGAAGGAATAAGAGTGGAGCAATTCTTTGTAGTCTTGCAGAAGAAAAGCATTCACTTCAGGCTTTACATTAAAGAAACTACATTGAGTTCAAACTGTGAGATTCTGATAGTACCGAAAACATGTTTTTGTGTACTGATTCTTTGTATTTTTTTCATCCACTTTTGTAAATGGACATGACTCTCTTTCAGCTTTCTTGTTTTTTTCCTTATTTTGTGAATTAGGTGGTACACAAGTAGTAGTTGCTGCAGGGTCTGTGACCATTCAGTGATGGTCAGCCCTGCAACTTCACCCTGATGGTCTCTGAACCATCACACAGTTCTCCCCATGGAGCAGTGACTTTTTTCACACCTGAAATTATTGTAGGCAAACTTGATTTAGTCCCTGGTTCCAGCTGTTGAACCCTGAGCTCCATAAAGGGTTCTTGGTCAATGAACAGAAAAATTTCAACACTGATAGTTAATTTGCTAAAAACAATAGAAAAATAAACAGAGATGGAGAACCATGAATTATAAAATGAATCACTAGAAATGCCTAATAGCCATACCAGATGTAAGAACAGTTGCAAGACAAAGAAAAAAAAAGTCTATGCAAGCAAGCAAAGAAAATGTCCAAACACAGTCGAAAAGCAACAGTAATATATGCTGTAAAAATACAAAAACAGTGTGCATCAACACATTTATACCACAAACAGAGATTCATACAAACAGATCTGAGTGATTGCAAGAAGTTCCACTGTCAGTATTTTCCTTGTGATCTCTTGTACTGTTGTTGTCTGATGCCAGCAGGCTGCACATTTGTGCATTTAACCACTAAACTCTGGCTGGGCTTTATAGCACTATTTATTCTCAGTGGGAAAGGAGAGGCATACTTTAAATTAAGTTAATTCATTAAGTAGTCAGTGGTTTTGTGTTTGGAACACAACAAATGTTGCCACAGATGGCGTACTTGTCCTAAAAAAGTATCTGCTTTTCAGCAGAGACGTGAAAAACGGAAACATAACCAAATTTCCACTTTTAGCAGCAACCGTCTAGAGAGTTCATATCCAATATTTCTTTTATGGTACATTTAAAGTATGTTGCGTCACAGATGTTCATTCCAAAGTAGATGGAAGGAATGTTTTCACACTGCACAGAAAATAGATGATATTCTTTCCAGGGTGTTGGTGTTTATTCTAGGCCTTCCATAAAAACAGGAAGTTCCAGCAATATGATGTTTTTTCCTGGATAAGATACGACTTTATTGTCCCAATGGGGAATTTATCTTTGACATCACTTTGTGAAAAATGAAATCACAGCAAACAAGTAAAAAAGCACATCAAATGAACATCAAATACATTTATCCATTAATTCCACATGCCCATCAGATCTAGTGCACACTTAGTACAATAACAGTGGTTAACAACAAGATGGACAGCTGCAGCACTCACATATTTCAGCCTAGGTGGTGGTCAGTGCTTCAAACCGGCGGACAAGGGAATGTTTGAAGAGGTGGTGCCTAGGGGAACCCTGTACCGTCTGCCTGAGGGGAGGGAGCTAATACTCAGATTTCAGAGCACATGAGTTGGGTATAAGATCCTTTTTTGGGCCTGTCTGTTTATAGTTTGTTGAAAAACAGCCTGAGGAAATACTGGATTTAAACGTAAAGGAGCAGTATGGGACAGTGAGAAGATTACATTTGAAGATGAGAACTTGATGCTGGGTAACAGGAAATAAATTACATAGTTTGGTGTAGGGAAGGCATGTGACCTCACAGAATTGAATAGCTTTAACCCTCTCATGCATGAATTATTAAAAACATTATCTAGATTTTATTGTGGCCAGCCTAAGGCACACCTGTGCAATACCCATGCTGTCTGATCAGCATCTTGATATGCCACACCTCTGAGGTGTATGGATTATTTTGGCAAAGGAGAAGTGCTCACTAATACAGATTTTGACAGATTTGTGAACAATATTTAAGAGAAATAGGCCTTTTGTGTACATAGAGAAAGTCTTAGATCTTTGAGTTCAGCTCATAATGAATGGGGACAAAAACTAAAGTGTTGCGTTTATAAGGAGGCATTTAGCACATGGCAATCACAGTCGGCCATCTTGGAATGATGAGGTCATCAAGCAATAAATATTTGGAAAACAAGAGAGTAACCACTGTTACAGTGTTACAATCAATCAACTGACACTGTCCTCAAATTACTTGGAGAACACAAGCATGATATAGTAACCCAAAATGGAGTTAAAATAACTGTCCACAAATGTGGACACCATGCATGAAAGGGTTAAAGAGTATAATTTTAAATGTGTCACCTTTAAGTCACCGCAAAGCTATCCTGCTGCGATATGACTTTCCGCCAGTAGATGGCAGTAGCAGCTTTGAAGAGTGACTGGCGCCACAATCCCGTCAGAGCAGGTTACGGCAGTCTTCATGTAAATGCAAAGGGCGACAAGCCCAAGTCCATCTTAAAATGGTCTTTTGTTGTGTTTGCAGGTGAGAAAGTTAAAAATTTCATGTACATTTATGTCACGTCTTAAATAAGTGCCGCCCTATTTTTACGTTCAGCAAGTTATCAGTGGTGGAAAATGAGGTAGCTAAAGTATGCTAACATCTTTAGCTAGCTTTGCTGCTTACTTGTTGTAGATGAGGGGATGGTTAACGTTAAGTTGTTGACCTGCAAGGTGCTAAAGAGCAGATGATAGAGAAAGTATTATTGACAGTGATTGTGTTTTAAAAGAAGAGCAATAGCACAATAAATAGCTGTGTGACCAGACACTTAGCTAACAATAGATTTTGTCACTAGACTATTTTTAAGAGATCAAGCTGAATTATATGAAAAGAGCAATACATACTTAATTTCCCTTATTCTGGAGATTTTTTCTGCACCAATTTATGTTGGAAGTGTTTTTATTTATGTAAAGGGAAACACAATATTCAGGTGGCAGGTGATTCAAAATATAAAACCATAGCAGAATATAATGCAGTATAGTTCTCATAGTGTAGTTTCGTTTTCTACTGTAGATCAACTTTTCTCATTTAATATCATCCCTGCTAAGAGATTTAATGTAGACTCCTCTTTTGTGTCTTTTGTTTGGGGAAGTAACCTCTTTAATTAAGTTATTAACTCCTGGACGTCAATAGCTTCTTGATTCAGCGGGATTTCTGCTCATGTATAAAACTTTCTGGACCTTCAGAATCTGTGCCATCTGACATTTTGAGAAAAAAGTTGTAATGTTACAACACTAACGTCATCATTTAATAAGAATTCATAATATTTTTGAAGCCTTCCTGGCCTATACTCTGAAGTGCATTATGTTATTGCTCCTCTGATAGTAACGTTATTCCCTTCAGACCGCTTGGAAAACAAAAATAACTATGTTAACTAAAGTGCAGCTCATAGTCCCAAACAGAGCAGCTTTTGACATGATAAGGAATCTTGTCACATTTTCATCTTGTAATCACACCCATAACAACAAAGTAACTGCATGTTATGTCCTGCAGTCAAAATGTTACTTGAGTATGTGTTACCAGGAAAATGTACTTAAAGTTGCAAGAGCAGAAGTTCTTATTATGCAGCAGAATGGCCCGTGTCTGTGAAATAACCAGAAATCCAGATGTCAGATGTAAGTATCATCACTTGAAATGTAGTGACGTTAAATATCAAGTAGCAGAAAATGGAAATAATCAAGTAAACTACAAGTACCTCAAAATGAAGCTTTTTGATTCAGCTGTGCGTTTCATATTTGTATTATTGGTTCATTTCATACACATAATTAGTTAGACTTTGTATTTAATTTATTTTGGCTGTTTATGATGTACATAGATTGCATATGGGATGTATGTATACGCCCTGTATTCACCAGGATCATCTTTTTCCGTGTTTGCAGTTATTGAAAGTATTTGGCAAATGATACAACATCGTCATGATTCATCGTGTGTAATGTTGGTATGAACACTGCCTGAGGGCGTCAGTATGCTGCAACTGAAGTACGTGTTGGATGGTCAAACAGCATCGGAAACGCCTTCGCCCCACATTCTGTCTGAGTTGACATGTGGAGACTGGTGTGAAAATAGTAAGGCTAAATGATTTTGAAAAAGTATCTAATTGAGATTATTTTGACTAATATTGCAATTGTGATACAATTTGCAATATTGGAGGGAATTATAATTTTTAGTTTGTTATTATTCTCAATTTTATTGAAAAACATTAAAATGATTACAGAGTGATTTTTGAAAGGATCTGTACCAAACCAAGAGTCTGTAAAATATGATGTGTAGGCCAGGACGTCTCTGCAGCATGACAATATTTAATTTAAAATGGTATTTTGACACGCGTTGTGCTTTAATGCACCTCTTGTGACTTGAAAATTACAGTTGGCCATATTGCGATTTCCATAAATGTTTGATCAATTGTTCAGCCCTAGAAAGTAGGGAGCACTTAAACTTTTCTCTCAAGCTGTCTTTCTCTCATCTTTCACACAACTACCTTTGGCGCTTTTCATTTATACAGATGAGTGCAACAGTATTAAATGTCTTCAAGGAAGGACTATCTGAAAGTGTGAGCTGTAAATCTGAACGATTATCGTGTCTCATTCGTACTCGTAGGGTCTCCTGTCTTCTAGCTTGGTCGCTAGTGTACAGCTACAGTATAAACACTTTTACCTTCAGACAAGATTGGACATATGGTTTGACGTAGCATACCCTTGTGTTAAGTCATCGATATAGTGGTGGCTATGTTTCACTTGTTTTGATATTTTTCTGCCCCCGTTGACCAAAATTGGATTAATGCATGTTAATTGCGTAATATTATATATAACACTGTATATATATATATTAAAATACATAACAAATTTTTCAGTGGTGTAGAAAGACCACCCATAGTGAACCGTTTTTATTTCCTTAGAATGAGCCATTTCTCTTGACATACAGAGTGTATTTCGTCACTATGTTGAATATGTATGAAGATGAACAACAACAGCAACAAGTAACAGTAGTAGTAGTCGACTGGTTTATTAGAAGTTAGAAAAGGAGAGAAATTTGGACAAATGGAGGCCCACACGTATTATTTAGCACAAGAGCCGACAGAGCGTGTCGGCCACCATAGCTTCTCCTGTGCGCTTGGAAAGGGAGGGGTGAGCGGTGACTGCATTCATGTGGTGTTGGAATAATCATTTACATTTACATTACATTTTCTCATTTGGCAGATGCCTATTCATAACCAATGCGACTTACATTTGAAGAACAACATACAAGCATCAACAGAGCATCAATACAGCACGAGATTTACAACTGACAATACATACTTGTAAGGGCAGCAATAACTACTAGCAAGAGCTAATAGTACGACTGGCATCAATGGGGTAAATACCTAGGGAAGGAAGTAAGGGTTAACAAAAAAGTGCAATCAATCAATTGGGGGGGGTTAGGGGGTCGTCCCACAAAGAAAATCTTTGCATTTTACAATGACAAAGATGTAATTTCACATCATATTGGGCCATTATTTTCACCATATCTCTGAACAAATAGTTGGAAAAGCTAGAGCAGATAATATATAAACAATACCCAAAGAGCAGTCTACTGGGCAGGAACTACAACCTTTAGATTTGGGGAAAGTGATTTGGTTGGTTATGATGCTCTCCACAGTGATTTTAAATTTATGGCACAGCATGTTTTGGGCAAATGGCAGGAAAACCCTGTTAATATGACCTGAGAATCATTATAGATACGATTGTTCATGTTTGCCTTTTGTGTCTTCATTTTACAGCTTTTGACATTTATCTGTAGACAAAAAATGAGAAACCAGCTCACTTGTGAGGTGCATTTTATTTGCACATTAACAACCACTTTTCACACATCTAAAAACTGAAAAATAATTTAAGATGTACAGTCTGTGAACAGGACAAGTTTGTACCTGATTTTCTCAACATTGGATAAGTAGGTAGTAATAAAATACAGCTACCAGTTTTTTCCTATAAATTGAGCTAATGTTAAATTACATAGCAGCCAAAAGACGTAGCCTGCTGCATAAACTTTCCTGCTCAGCAGCGCAGTCTGAAGGGGGGTTGGAGATGTTAGCTAGCGCTCACCGGCTTCACTTTTCCAGCATTTGGGGAAACGAAGCTAACACACCGTATTCGATACCGTACATTTACTGCCAGAATATTTTCCTCCGCTCCCATTCACCGTCACTTTCTGCCACTCATACAATCAAACACTCGCAACACCTCCCAATTCCTAAAAGGAGTTACGTTGCTCTTATAACAGCACCTGTCACGTAGATGTCCTTTGAATAATGAGGAGAGGAAGCGAGCCAAGCAATGTGTTACCTTGCTCGCATAGTGTGCGAGTGAAAATTAGTAGTGCATTGATGATGAATTATTGTGTGAAATTTTAGTAGCATAATTCAGCAGCGGTGCACTGCCGCTCCTGAATGCAGAAAGGTCTGTGTGTCTGTGTGTTGTTTACATGCTCTGATAATGCTAATCCAACACATCTTTGTAGTAGCGTTCATATTGATCCCACATTCCGACTTAAGAGCACATGAACACACACACTGAAGTCGGAAGAACGACTTCACAACTCGTAAAATGGGACCATCCGAGGAGCATATGAATGCACCGTGAGCCACTGGTTGCAATTCACAACCCTCACCACTAGGTGCCACTAAAACTTACACGCTGACCCTTTAAGTAAAAGTAATAACACCACAATATTAAAGTACTGCATTACAAGTCAAAGTCCTGTATCAGAAACTGTAGTTAAGTATAAGATTATTATCGATAAAGTGTATTAAAATAGAATTGCTACTTTTATAGAAATAAATTGTTGATGCTTTGCTGTGTTAGCCGCATTTTAAAGGAAACATTTGACAGTTTGGGAAATACGTTTATGTGCTTTCTTGTAGAGAGTTAGATGAGAAGTTGACTACCATGCTCATATCTTTATGCTAAATATGAAGCCATAGAGCTAACAGCTGGTTTCCTTAGCTTAGCTTGGGGTTAAGTATTTTTTGGCTGGCCACACTCACTTTTATTGACTTGTATTGACTTGTATTGCTGTCACTGTGTTGCCAGTTTACCCCTGTTTCCAGTCTTTGTACTAAGCTAACCGGCTGCTGTCTGTAGCTTCCTATTTACCGTACAGACATCACTATGTTTCCAGGGTGTGTATTTTCAATCTCTTACAGAGATTGGTGGGAGAGTGAATGGCTCTTATTTGTTGTTTTTTCTGTCACAAACACCTTGACATGTCCTGTATTTGATGTACTGACTTTGCTATGTCTGAAGGAAACTCCATTAAAAGATTTAGGGGGTTGGGGGGACAATCTTGTCCACAAATTTCCCATTTTAAAAGCGTAGGTTTTAAGATTATAACATCAGTAAGCTGTATGTAGGTGGGCGATTAAACATATTGACCCAGGGAAACGTACATTGAACATTTAACCTAGGGGAAAAAACATTGCTCAGAACATAAAACCCTTTCAAATGGTCTCACATTAAGAAGATACTAAGCTGGGGGAAATATAACCCTGGAAACATAGGTTCCCTGAGAGAGGTATCAATTTGCCAAGACTTGGCAAGGAAATTTGTGTATTTTCTAAAGTTTCCACCTGGTCCAGGTGGTTGGCTATTATTGTATTTCTATGTATTTCGATATATATTCATTTCAATTCAATTCAATTTTATTTATATAGCGCCAAATCATATACCATCATATACCAATACTTAATATTTTATTATCATAAATGTCATCTTTACCTGAAAGGTAAGAGCTGTGTGACAAAATAGAGTAACATGTTCTATATTTTCTTATAAAATGTTGTGGAGTACTACAAAGTTATACCAAATGAAAATGTAAAACATTACACTGCACTGCACTAAGTATAGTACTCGAGTAAATGAATGTTCTCTGCTCTTGTTGCTGTAGGCAATACTGCAGAACACCAGTGATGTTGGAGCCTGTACCCCATCATCTGACCTCCTCCCCCTGCTGATGCTGAGGCCGGCTGCTGATGCCGTAATTACACTCCTGCCACAGCTACAGGAAGTGGGGCTGCCATGGGTGGGAACTGTGGAGAGCCTCACAGCAGGCGGTGGGGAACGGTGCACTGAAGGGAGCTCAAAATCAACCAACCAAGGGCCGCCACAGGGCCTAATTACTGAGTGAACATGGCTAATGATGGATCTGCGCTCTGCTGGTGCTGTGTCCGAAATATGCAGCCCTCGTGGCCCACCTTAGAAGACGTGTGGCTGTAGCAGTGTGATACTGCTGTGCATAGACCTCCCACAGTGCTGCTCAGAAATGAGAGAGTGACAGATAGCCAGCATGGACCTCATGTGAAGTACAACAAGTAGGTGTCTGAGTAATGTGCATATATAGAGTATGATTTCATAAATTGAGGCGACTCCTTTTACCTTTGCGTAAATAGATGACTTGGAGAGGTTTTATTGTCAGTTTCCATGTGAGAGCAGGTTGCCTATTCTCCACTGATAACTGTGTGAATGGTTTCGGGGGACAAGGGGAGTGATTTGGAGTGATTTCTTAAAAAGCGTTTCGCAAGAGAGATGCAATCACTCTGCACAGTGATCCTCTTCTTACAGATTTCCCGGTAGTTGGTTGCTGTGACTGATGGCAGTCCGTCCCCCCCAACACACACACACGCACGCACGCACGCACACACACACACACAATTCCACCTAGTTCCAACAGGAAATCGATGAAACGGAAATGAGGTTCCCCTGGGAGAGCACAGCCTCCCATAGAGTCTCAGGGATGAATATACAGTAGGTGTGGAGGAGAAGCAAACATCACTTTTTATTGGCATGATAAGCGAGGAACGAGGCTGTGACTGAAGCTGCAGAAGTTGGAGGAGCTGTCCAGATGCTGAAAGACCATCAGGCAGCTTTTAAATTAGCAATAAGGGCCGGTGACTCTGGGGTAACTAATGCAATGTTAACGATAGCTGAAAATAAATTATTCATCCAGTTGCGTTTGACGCAAATGTTCGGCATATTGATTTAATTTGGTAGTTAATTAGAGTATTTTCACATCTGCATGGAGATCCGCCCCGTTGGTTTCTTAAACAAAAACAACACGGCATTTCACTTTTAATAGATTGTTCGATTCAGTCAAAATATTTCAGCTATTTTCATCTGATCTAAAAATGAGACACAAACTACAGCCCAGTGTTACATTGACGCCCCTCGGTGCTTATTTATTTTCTAATTTTCTAGTTAAAGGTTCTTAAAAAACAATTTGGAGCACAATCACGATCCGTTCAGCCATGGATCAATAGCTTGGATCTGCAACGAGTGTCAGTCGCAGCCCCGCATGTAGGAAAATGCAGACAGGAGGGGTGGAGTTCACAGCTTTTACTTTTCAAACACTGCTCTGGCAGAAGAGCTCATTCTTTGCCTGGGAAACGGCGGAGTTGGCGCTGATGCGTCCTGGCATGTGATCCCGACTTCAGTCAAATCAGTCGCATCACTGCTGCAGCCTGCCATTAAACTTTCCATGCTGCTGGCCGTCCAATGGACAGCACTTAGGAGGTTTTCCCGGACCGTACCCGCTCCTGCTCGCTCGTCAGCTGCCCACCGGCTCCCCACCGTCGACTCTCCAGGTTCAGAGAGACTCACGCAACCCGGGGAGCTGGCCTGGGTCTCCTGTGCGCATGGAGGGAGACGTGATGGACAAAGTGGAGGCCACGGCAACGGTCTGTGACTTCGACCCAATGAGTGGGAGCATTCCGGCCACCAAAGTGGAGATCACCGTGTCGTGCAGGTGAGTCCACTCCGGCGCTGAGGCTGATGTGTCTGCGTCGGAGTTTGGGGATCTGCGCGCGCTTTGGGCGCGTTTAGCAGTGACAAGACAGGACACTGTGTTAATGAGTAATGGACCATTTAACGTGTTGTTGCAACAAAACATAGCTTAAGCGCCGCCAAGTGTCATTTCTTTATGGGAAGAACTACGTTTAACATTATGAATAATAAAAAATAAAAATAAAAAATAAGAGGAAATCCTGGCAGAGATCCTTGCGTAGCTATAAAGACCCATAGACAGCCTACGAGACTACATTTAATGTTTAAGCATTTTAGAGACTTAGTTAGCGTTGGTAATTAAAAAATCATACAGCACCTAATTAGCATAGCAGTACTTTACAGAATCTCCTGTATTAAAGTGGCGTGCTGTAAATCTGTCAATCCCTAAACTTTCGCGCATTTGTTTGATTGTCTCTCCTGTTTATTACGCTTAGATGTTTATTAAAAGCCCCCGTCCCCGTCAGAGTGTCTCGTGTCATGGTTCTACGGAGCTGTGGTGTTGTGCGCGTGTCATGTCGCGTGCCACAGCAGATACCGACCGTCTTAGAGTTTGTTGGCATGCCTGAAAGGTTTCCCCTGAGGCAGGCTATGTCCTGTGAAGCTGTGTAAAAGCTTGACAGGCTACGAAAACGACACCACTTCGCAACAGGAAGGTGAAAACAACAATTACTTGTCCATTAGACTGTAACTGAATTCCTGCCCCCCCCCCCAAAAAAAAATACAAAACAACAAACAAATAGAAGATGGCAAGTGCCTTGGCTGGATAGGGTGGGGCAGCGCTGGTTGCAGGTAGAGTATAATGTATGCTGCTGCAACATATAGGCTAGTGGCTTTAAATTGGTCGACAAGTACCACCGGTACAGTTTTAATTAACATTTCACATGGAAATTGGCGTTAAATTGTTTTTCCAGGGCCTCTTCATCATTTTGCCATAATCCACAGTGTTCAGCTCTTTGTAGCTCCTGGCTACATCAGTGTTAGATGCATGCAAATGAGGTGTTCCCATGTGCACTGCTGTGGTTAAAACTGATCCCACAGAGATTTCAGAAATTAATGTAAAGTCACAGGCTAGAGATTTATTAACCAAACACCCTGCTGCCATCGCTTTCTTCAGTCCTCTCTCATCTGCTCTCTTCTCGAAGTCTCCGTTCACTCAGTCCGTTATGTGGAGGGGAAACTGATTGACTGCCTTTCTTGTTGCAAACACTGCGTTGTCATCAATATTGTAATGTTCAACAAACTCAACATTGCTCTTTCAGTGTAGGCGACCTTATAACCCATTTAGGATATTAAATAATTAGTCACGTTTCAGAACAAATGTGTTAACCTTTATAGAGTATTGAGTGGATGATGCAGTCACAGGGATGGGTGGCTGTGTAAAGAAGATGATAAGCATTAAACTCTATACACAAGCCCACAGACCGAAAGAATCGAATTGTGTGTTAAACTGAGGCAAGAGTAAGTGTGTGTGTGGTGAGGTTCGCACATGGAGCTTGGGTTGTGTGCTTGTTTTTTATCCATTGTGGGGCATGTGTTGTGAGTAGCAGCTGGACTTGTGTGTTTTCCCTCTTGGTACACGCTTGTGTTTTTTCCCCCAGACCTTCATACTTTAAGCTGGGATATGTGTTGATGCCCCCGGGCTGTGTCGATCCACAGCTCCCTTGTCTGTCATTAATGTCTTGCTCCAGGCCACAGTCGGATGGAGAAGAAAAATACAGTCCTGTTTCCTCTAGGCCTTGAAACATTTTCTGCTTTAGATGCAAATATGTCTGGTCCTGTCTGTTCTTCTTTGTGACTTGCGGAGATTGCTGCAGTAGCTCATGTCTGACCTCTGAAGACTGCTTCAAAGTTCAAACACTGGACAGCTCAAGAGTTGAACACATATGAAATAAACAGCCATGCATGCAGCCAATCCTCCCACTTAACCAGCACAGAAGCAAACAGAAACAATGGTTGTTATGTGGGTGAAAGGCGCAGGCTCCACAACTCTGTGTAATTGATTTAGTAAGCCTGAAAGCTTTGAGGTTGCAGCGCACATGGAATTGAATTGCGGCGTGCAGCCCTACAGGCAGTCTCATAACCCTCTGCCAATATTGCAGCAAGCCCCCTGACAAACTGGAGGGACTGAAGCAGACAACCCCTTATCAAAACAAGTGCACATCGCTGTGATAGCACGATCTTCCCCGTCTATGGCTCTGATTGGTTTTGCTCACAGGTCAGCCGGTGAGCTGAGCCCAGAGCATCTGCTTCTTAGCTGTGCGGGCTACACTGCAGCTCAGCTTTAAGATGTCTCTTCAAATTCAAGTGGCCTCTATTCCTACATCTGCCTTATCAAACGCATGCCATTAAATACAGTTCAGTGGATTAGGGCCAGTGGCCCCTTGGTGCTTTTACAGGCTCGATACTACCTCTTACGTGGCAATAATGAGTGTGTTCAATAATTAATAGCTCTGATGAATATTTCACAAGTTGTCTAAGCAGTTTGATGCAACATGCTTTAATTATGAGCAAAGTAGTAAATGTGAGTCCTGCTGAATTGTAAAATGTGCCCTTTCTATATCTCTGCTCACCAGACTGTCTCAGAGTTCCCATGTACAATGACTTAAGGGAAATAGGGGCTTCAGCTCTGTGGTTCCACTGTGAAGACTTTTGGTAATGAATGTTGGAAAAAATGTGCACACAGACCAAAATCGCAAAGCCCTGAAAAGCACATGGATCTTCATTTAATTAAAATTTCCCCCTATGTCCCTCTTCGGTACATCACAGTACAGATCCATGTACAGGATAAAAGTGATGATTTGTAAATGCACTGTTTTCTGTATGTGCCTCTGTGACCAGAATGAGGCAGCATAGTTGATAAGCTTGACAACCCTGACAAAGGCTTACAACCCTTATCAGAACAGAGCGAGGGAATAGGAATTTCTTGCTCCTCATTTGTTAGATAGTTACCGCCCAGATTGAAGGGGAAGAAAATAACAGAATGGGTTGATGTAAAGCCCAGATTTGGACACTGTATCATTGTGAGCACATGATATACACTACAGTCCAACAAAACCACCAAGCACAAGTTCATGGCATGAATTTTTATTACACCCCCATATGAAAACAGTTCAACAGAGGGCATATTATAGACATTTTCCTTTGCAGCGTGTCTAAACACACCAGAGGTATGCTCTTAAAAGGGAAATCAGCTGACAAAGCCACCCTCCCTTCCACTGTGGTCAGCCTCCCACCTGACAGCTTGAATGTCGAACTTTATCAACCGCCATGGCCCATTTCATCAAGGCAAAGACACTGCGTCTTCTCCCTCCTGTTCTCTGCGGTTGACTTTGGAAGTTGCTGTGAGAGATTGGTTAGTGTAGCATTGCATCCAATCAATGCACTCCATATCAGGGGCGATCTAACTCAACCAGGCTACTCCGCTCGAGTGGGATTCATTACCTGGTGGAACGCTCGCAGGAGAGGATCCCCGGTGCTCAAAGGGCACTGATTGCTGTTCCCTGGGGTCAGTCTGAAAACTTGGGCCGTGGTTCTTGATCTGAACTCGTCCTGAGGCGGTCATTGCAGCAGGCGGGGGGAGGCCTAATGAAATCATCAGAAAGATTGGGAAGTGTGGCATTGGCGCTCGATCTGTCAAAAACAATTGCTTGAGCAGAGCAATTGGGATTTAAGCTCTGTTACAACCTATTCTTTCTTCGGATGCATTGTTATGGCCTGTAACTCTGCTGTTGTTGTGTTAATAGCTGTCGTAGCTGTTGATTTCAGGCAGTCTTGGTTACCCATTCTGTCAAACCCCGTGACCTGTTTTTTCTGGATGAAACATCCTTTTGTTTTGCCCCGGCAGAAAGCAAGTTTGAATTGAACTAGTTTGCATTGTGTAAGAGCATAAAATATTAATAAAAGATCTCCCTGAGTAGGAGAGAAATTTCAATTTACTGTGCTGTTCTTTCCGCTCCGTGTTCTGGGTTAAGACTGACCTGGGGCGAGCTCGCAGCTTTTATCTCGCAGGGTGGCTTGTGTGTGTGTGAGTGATGTGTCGCATCTGTTTTGAGGATCGAGGCTAAGAGACAAGAGGGTGCCAAGAGGTGGCTGATTTTTTTTTTTTTTCAATTTTGGGGATGTTAAGATTGCAGCAGGCGAGGCTCACAGGTCGATGAAGCGGATAATTATGCATGAACCCCTGACACAGTGAAAATGAGTTTGGATCCCAGACACTTGGCTTGTGGTGGTGTCAGTGTTATTAATATATTCTCATTTGGGATATATGACAGCAGAGGGGGGATCCCATGCCAGTAGTTTATAACACTCTGCATGTTGCCCGTGTCATCTGAAAGTGTTGATTGGAATGACAGGAAAAGTCACGAGTGGGGGTGTAGCAATAAGAAATCAAAGCTGTCCCTCCAGGCTCAGAATTATCAAGCTGTTTTTGACACTATTTTCAGAGAACCTTAAGGGTCAGCAGAGTATGTTAGTGAATTTCTGTGTCGGGGGATTTTGACCGAACGTCACAGCTTGTCTGGGAAATATGAGAGCTGGTGTCGGATTTGTACAAAGTGTGACAGTTTGCTCAGTGAGGATTTCACCACATTATGTTGCATATGTTGAAGGTCTCTCACTTGTTGACACTCTTAACCGAAGGCCTAAATAAGCTACTCATTGTCAGGTTATTGTCATTCCTGTGGATCTCTCTGAGTAAGTAAATTTTCTGATACATTCATGTGGACATGTTGCACAAAAGCCAAAAGGAATATTTCTGCCTGTGTGGGTGAGAATGTGTGTGTGGTTTTCTACAGAGCTGTATACAGAGCTGAAACGTACAAATTCAATTAATTTTCACTGTAGGGAAATCTATTATCAGTCAAAATGTGTGACTTGTACAAGATAAAGTTAACCACAAGCTACACAACTGTGAAATTATTTAGTTTAGTTAGTCTAATTTCAAGTTTGTTTTAAGTTTGTTCT